GACGTGAGCTCAGTCTCGCATCAAACAAATATTTATTTCAACTTTTTAGTCACTACACCGCCCCCCCCCCACCACCCCCCACCCCAAATAACCTCCATTTTATAATCCAGCCCTGAAAAATGGCCATTTTATTGACTGGGACGGAAAGGCGTCCGGCTTTAACGAAACTCAAACCGTTGTTGGAACAAAAAAAATCTTTCCTCGTGCGTAAAAGAAACTGCTAACGTCCCCTTTCTTCCCGCGCCCCCCCCCCCCCCCCCCCAGGCCTAAAACATCCCATAAACCTGCACATTTTATTGCTGAGGCCCTGCTAAATGCCATCAGCCCTGGTTCCTGCAATCATAAAACCCACAGCTGTTATAGGCCTCTCTCTCTCGCTCCCTCTCTGGGTTTCATCTGAGCTCGGTCTAGCGCTCTCTCTCTCTCTCTCTCTCTCTCACACACACAGCCATCCCCAATTAGTGGCTTATTTTCAAAAGATTGTCAGTTTTCTTTTCATCTGAATGCAACCAGAGAGAAAAAGGGCGCCATGGCAACCGCGACCAAGGAGGGCATTTCCTGCTGAACTGTTCAGCTCAATAACAAAAAAATTCAAATCTTGCACTGGGGCGAGAGTTGGTAGTGGTGGTGATGGGAAGGGATTCGGGGGGGGGGGTGGGGGTGGGGGAGAGAGGTGTGCGCGCGTGTGTGTGTGTATATATATGTGTGTGTATGTGGGGGGGGTAGATGTGTGTGCGTTGGGGGTGGTATGCGTGTGGGCTCCATTGCACTGGTCAGGGGTACGGCAAACAGGGAGCAGACAGTCAGATAGCGCCTTACCCTCTCCCCCACACACACACACACACCAGCTCCCAGTTTGCTCCCTCTGTCTCGCTCCCCCGCTCCCTGGCTCTTACTTCCTACCACTTCCGAAGCACTCTGGGACGCTACCCCAAGTGAAGGGCCCTATATAAATACAAATTGTTCTCTCACTCTCTCTCTCCTTCTCCCTCACTCACTCACTCACTCCCTCACCATTTTTCTTCCCTCCCTCGCTCCATCATCGTTCCTTCTTTCGCGCTCTCCCTCATTCCCTCCCTCGTCCCTTCCTCACTTCCCTTCCTCCATCTCTCCCTTTCTCCCTCCCACCCCCCACCTTCTCCCTCCATCTCTCGCTTTCTCTCTCTCCTTTCCACCCTCGCTCTTGTTCCCTCCCTCCCTCTCTCCATCTCTTGCTTCCTCCCTCTCTACGTCCCTCCCTCCCTCCCCCCACTCCCCTCACCGGGGCTTTCCTGGATGTAGATGTGTTTCATGCGGCTGATCCGAGCCAATTTCTCATCCACAGTGGGGCTGGCTCTCCTCAGCTCCCCGAACCTCCCGAACATGATGGCGCTGAACCTGTGGGGGAAGAGGGGGTGCGGGGGGGGAGGGGGAAAGGCAGGGGAACACAGAAGGAGGCCATTCAGCCCATCAAGTCAGTCATCCATCCAATCCTATGCCCCCACACGCCTTCCAGCCTCTGTGTCTCACACGCCCTCTACTGCCCTTTACAAACACACACTGGCCTCTGCCTCCAACCCCTCAATCTGCCGGGTGTCCCACATCCTATAACAGTCACCCAGTTTCCCAGGATTTACTGTCAGGTGTAGTGACTGTGTGCATCACTCAAGTCTCTGACAATCAAAGATGAGGATCATGGTCCGCTTGCTGACACACTCACACATACACCTCCCACCAGGCCGGCCTGGGATGATCCGATTACAATTTACAACAGGGAAACCCGGAGCTTCGCTGGAGTCAGTGTCCGAGCGGTGATCCAGAGAGTTACAACTGTTATGTACACTAATGGCACGATGTACACTGGCTGGGGGGGTGTGGTGTACACTGACTGGGGGGGTGTGGTGTACACTGACTGGGGTGTGTGGTGTACACTGACTGGGGGGGTGTGGTGTACACTGACTGGGGTGTGTGGTGTACACTGGCTGGGGGGGTGTGGTGTACACTGACTGGGGTGTGATGTACACTGAGAGCAGAGTATATGCAGAGACAGATATACCCACTCCTCATTCTGTTCCTCGATCGCCTGCTCTAGGATCTCCCGCGGCAGTCTGTAATGCATCCTCTGTAAACTGGGATAGAACTGCAGCGACTCCAACACTGAGCATCGGGACAACACAATCCAGATCACAGTCACTCACTCCCTTTACACACTCCCTCTACACACACTCCCCGTACACAAACTCCCTGTACACACACTCCTTGTGGACTCACCCCTCTACACACACTCCATCTACACTCCCTGTACACACACACACTCACTCACCACACACTCCCTCTACACACACTCCCTCTACACACACTCCCTCTACAGTCATTCCCTCTACACTCTCACCCCCTGTACACACACTCCCTGTACACTCCCTGGGGGTGGGGATGGGGGTGGGGTGGGGGGAGGTGCTGGCTCAGTGGCCACGGGAGCTCTCACGTGAATTCTTGGAGCTGGGACAGGCTCTGGAGGTGGCGATTTCAGTCCAGGTCCTCAGATAGTCATCAAACGGCACCTTCTTAATCCTGGGGAGTGGGGGGAGAGGCTGAGTAACTCCCAGAGCCGTCAGGAACCTGCAAAGTCACCCCCTTCCGGTTCGGTCGCTCCACCATCAGCGGTCAGGCATTCAGCCTCTCTGCCCCCACTCTTTGGAACTCGATCCCACAATCCCTTCATCTTGCCCCCTCCCTCGCCTCCTTCAAAATCCTTCTAAGATGTTTCAAAAACCCTACCTCATCGGCTGCGCCTTTGGTCACCCTTCCACCCCCACCCTCCCTGCCCTCTACCCCTCCTGATCCAAACCTCCAGCTCGGGTCCAAATTCCTGATTGTCCAGCGCCTTGGGACGTCCTCCATACGTGATCAATGTTGTGTTAATGTCATGTGTTGTTGTTGTCGTTGTAACCCCTCCATCCTGCGGTGGGCGAGAGGGGAGGGGGATGGGTGTTCGTGGTGGGAGGGGGAGCGGAGGAGAGGGGGAAGGGTGTGCGGGGGAAGGTTTGGGGGGAGTTGGGAAGGAAGGAATATTCTGTGAGCTCTCTGATATTCGGTGAGCTGTCTCGTTCACGCCCACTCACTGACCTGCTCTTTACGTCCATCGTCGGGGGGGGTTGCGGCAGTGGGGTGCAGCACACGTTAGCCACAGTGGAAGAACACACATCTAGGGGTGGGGGTGGGTGGGGGGAGAACAGAAAGCGCCAGTCAGAGCCAGTTTTTATTTAATACTTTCACCCTATCTCTGTGATCCGCTAACTCCATACCAACCTGTCCACTCCCTCCGCTCAGTAGGCTCCGGCCTGCTCCAGGTCCCCCGCCCGGCCGAACCCCATCAGCCTTCAACCTCTTTGCCCCACCCTTTGGAACTCCATCCTGGAGCCCCCTCACCTCGCCCCCTCCCTTGCCTCCTTCAAGCTCGGTCTCACAACCCTGCTCTTCAACCGCGACTTAGGCTACCCTTCTAACCCCACCCTCCCTGCCTTCCATTCCTCCCCAGCTCGGGTCCCAATCCGTGGGACGTCCTCCTGACGTGAAAGGTGCTGTGTAAGCGTGATGTATTGTTGTTGAGCCAGGTTTGCTCTGGCTCTCTGGCCAGTCACACTCACCTGGCCTGGGCCCGTGGCTAATCCGCACACAATCGCGAACGATCTCCCAGTAACGAGATGGGTCAAACCTTAGGATCTCCGCGGCGTCTGTGTTGACGGCTCTCTCCAGCACCGGGTTAGACAGCAGCACCTGTCACGCAGCACAGTCTCAACTCAGTCACACAGCAATAGCCACTTCATCAATTATACATTATAATAATAATCCTGGCATTTGATATAGCGCCTTATCAAGTCTTCAAGACGTCTCAAAGCGCTGCACAGAAGATAATGTAAAGTAATTGAATGTATATTTTGTGGTTGAAAAGTGTCAGTAAATTGCGCAAGGCAATGTCCCACAAACAGTCGTGATTGAGTGGCCAAATTATTGTTATTACTTGTTTTGTTTTGAAGGAATTATTACCCCCGTGAAAGCAATCCGTCAATCGACTAACAACCAGGTTCCTACTTGCCTAAAATTTTGCTCTGCTGGGAATCGAACCCAGGTCTCTCACTTGCGAGGAGAGTGCTCTAACCTTTGAGCTGCAGGACTCCACTGTATTATTCATCATTATTATAATAATAATAATCCTTGCATTTGATACAACACCTTATCACATCTCAGGGAGGACGTCTAAAGGCGATCCACAGGATTTTACAGTGATAACTTTGTATTTTCTAAGCAAATGCGACAGCCAGTTTGCACACCTCAACATCCCGCAAACAGCCCTGAAGTGAGTGAGTCAGAGGGAGAGAAAAAAGGGGGTAGTGGCGAAAGAGAGAGACTGAGGGAGAGAGAGATAGAGTGAGTGAGAGAACGAGAGATTAGGAAAGAAAGAGAGAGACTGGAGGAAAGAGAGATGGAGGAATGGAGAGAGAGAGAGAGACTGGAAGTGGAGAGCGATTATTTTGGTCAACCGGGTGTCTGACACATGGCGAAAGAGTGAGGAGTCCTGTAACTCAGTGGTTAGAGCGCTCGCCTCGCAAGCGAGAGACCTGGGTTTGATTCCCGGCAGGTCAGGGCGAAATCGTGGGCAAGTTACTCCACACGCCTCATAATAATCCCTCAAAAAAACAATAATAAATTGGTCCCTTCAATCCACGACTGTTTGTAGGGACACTGCGGTGCGCAATTGGCTGCTGTGTTTCACGCACAAATATACAGTCAATTCACTTCACAGTCAATTCACTTCACCTGCGAAGCGCTTTGAGATGTCTCGAAGACGTGCTCAGGCGCTGCATCAAATGCAAGGATTATTATTATTATTATTAGAGTGTCCAATCCAGAATTCCACGCATCCCACCTCCACAGGGAAATTCCCGAGATATTGATTGGAATGGAATGTGCACTCTCTGCCTAGAGGTACAGGGGGAGGGAGGGAGGGGTGTGGGGGGGTTGGGGGGTTTTGTGGGGAGAATAGATGAGCCCAGAGCAGGGATAGCGCAACCTGGTTTGGTCCCTGACTGTCCAGCGCCTTGTGACCTGAAGACACTGAATACTCAGGGACAATGTGGAGTCCTGTAGCTCAGTGGTTAGAGACCTGAGTTCAATTCCAGGCAGAGGGGGAAACCTTGGGCAAGTTTCCTTACTCCACACAGAGCCTAATAATAATCCTCCAAAACCAAAAACAATAATAAATTGGTCATTTTCAATCCACGGCTGTTTGTGGGACATTGCTGTGTGCAATTGGCTGCCGCGTTCGCCCACAAATATACAGTCAATTCACTTTACAGTGTGTTCTGTGAAGCGCTTTGGGACGTCCTCCCGACGTGAAAAGCGCTATATCAAATGCGAGGATTATTATTATTATTGTTATAATGTATGGCCAATGGCGCCCTCTGCTGGACACACTCTTACCTGCAGCCACAGGGAGTCTAACCCTTTACCTGGACGCTGAGGTTTCTCTCTCTCTCACCTGGATGCCGAGCAGGATACTGCTGACCGTCAGGCTTTGCTTCCATAGTCGGGGCTCATCGAGGAACCCGATACAGGGTCTGCCCGTGGCTTTATCCACTGGGAGCGAAAGGATCAAAGTTACATTTGATTGAGTTAAAATATTAATAACAATAATAATGCCTGCGAAGCCCTCCACGGCATTGCTCCTCCTGTGACCCGTTCCCTCCACTCAGCGAGCTCCGGCCTGCTCCATGTCCCCCGCCTTGCCGACCCCACCATCTGCGGTCGGGCTTTCAGCCCCTCTGCCCCCACCGTCTGGAAGTCCATCCCAGAGCCCACCCGCCTCGCCCCTTCCCTTGCCTCCTTCAAGGAGGAGCTTCCTCCTCGACGGTGCCTACGGTCACCCTCTTACGCCCACCCTCCCTGATCCCAAACCCCAGCTCGGGTGCAAATGTCTGATTGGCGCTGTCGGCGCTGAGTAAATGTAATTTGTTGTTGTTGTGATCCTTTGTCCCCGCACCCCATGCCCTGTAAACGTTTCGCTAGCGCAGGCTGTCACTGAGTGTCGCTGCCCCTCCCCGTCTCTCTCCTCCCCCCCCACCCCGGCTCACCGTTGGGATGAAAAGGGATGGTATGGAAGGTGACAGTGGGGGGAACAGAGTTGTAATCATCGGTGAATTTCAGCGAGAGTTTATATTTAGCACCTGCGGAGAAACAGAGAAGATGTCACACAGGCTGTCCCCACCCTTAGGCACCTCCACACGTTATCCTACAATATTTGTGGAGTCCGGTAGCTTAGTGGTTAGAGCAATCACTCACAAGTAAGAGGATCTGGATTCGATTCCCGGGCAGAGCAAAATATTAGGCAAGTTTCCTTACTCTACTCACCTCTGTTTGTCGAGCAGGAAGTAGGAACCTGATTTTTAGTCGATTGGCAGATCGCTTTCCGGGGCTAATAATCCTAATAATAATAATTTGGTCACTCAATCCACGACTGTTTGTGGGACACTGTTGTGCGCAGTTGGATGCCACATTTTGCCCACAAAGTATATGGTCAATTCACTTTACAGTATATTATGTGAATCGCTCTGAGTGAGTGATCAATTTTATTTGGGGGATTGTTGGCCAGGAGAGAGATAGTGTCATGGAATCTTTAACTCCACCTCAATAGGCAGACAGGACCTCGGATTAACGTCTGATCTGAAGGACGGCGCCTCTGACAAAGCAGCACACCCCCAGCGCTGCATTGGAGCGTCAACTTAGTCCGTGTGATTCCAAGTCCCGATGCGGAGACTTGCACTTGAACCCACAATCTTCTGATTGAGCAAGAGCACTACGGGCACACAAATAAAATCTTTTTTTACGAGCCTGATGTGCCTGTCTGGAGTTTTGACACTGAAACAAAATTACCCTTTTCCACATCGACCCTCACCTTCCCACGGGGTGTCCTTCAGCCCCTGGATGGTGGCCATCCATTCCAGCAAGTTGTCCTCATGAGGAGACGCAATCATTCCCTGAGGAACGCAGAGAGATGTTAGGTCAGCCTGGCCCACACAGCCTCATGCTTCAACAACAACCACCACCTGCATTTGCACAGGGTCCTTCACGCAGGACAGCAGACCAAACACTAAGCGAGCGAGGGGGAGGAGGAGGTAACCATAGGCATGGTTGAAGAGGAAGGTCTTGAGGTGGGATTTAAAGCTAGAGGGATTGAGGCAGAGTCCCAGAGGTTAGGGTGCAGTGACTGCGGATGTTCAAGTCCGCAGTGTGAATGCTCTAACCAGGGCAGCGCTGATCCGTTGATCTCGGCCCCGCTCTGAGCCTCTCCCATTGCCCCCCGGGTGAGGAGGGGTGCAATCAGCCGGGGTTCCTGGTCCTGATCACTACGGAGTGGCCGCGGGGTGAGGCCAGGAGCAGGGTTTGGGCCGTGACACAGTCACATACTGCGGTGACGGCCGGAGGCTCTGAGAGCAGCCAGAACCGGAACAAGCTGATCCCTAACGTCCCGCACTTGTGATTCCAACATTGGACTCTGCAATGACTTACGATGATCGGGGAGGTTTGAAGCTGAAGGTATTCTCTCTCCAGCAGCAGCGAGGCTCGGGAACGCATGGCACCTCCGTCACCTCCTCACTCACAGCCCACCACACAATCCTTCATTCCTCAGCCAAACAACATAATAATAAAGATAGATAGATAGAGAGAGAGAGAGAGGAGAGATAGATAGATAGATAGATAGATAGATAGATAGATAGATAGATAGATAGATAGATAGATAGATAGATAGATAGATAGATAGATAGATAGATAGATAGATAGATAGATAGATAGATAGATAGATAGATAGATAGATAGATAGATAGATAGATAGATAGATAGATAGATAGATAGATAGATAGATAGATAGATAGATAGATAGATAGATAGATAGAGAGAGAGAGAGAGAGAAGAGAGAGAGAGAGAGAGAGAGAGAGAGAGAGAGAGATAGAGAGAGAGAGAGAGATAGAAAAATAGAGAGATAGAAAAATAGAGAGACAGAAAAATAGAGAGACAGAAAAATAGAGAGACAGAAAAATAGAGAGACAGAAAAATAGAGAGACAGAAAAATAGAGAGACAGAAAAATAGAGAGACAGAAAAATAGAGATAGAAAGAGATAGAGAGAGACAGATGACAATGAGAAGGATGGACAGAGGAGGACAGAGGGGGTGAGAAAGGGCGATAGAGGGCGATCACGAGAGAGGGGGCACTGGGCAGAGACACACACACCTGAGGTCCCCCCACTCCGGGAGTCGGTGCACACACACCTGTAACCCGGTGATCAGTGCCGTCCTGAGCTTCCGGTGTCAGCAGCGAGGAGCCAGGGAATTGTTGTCTGTTGCCCTGACAACACACCCACTGGTTACTGGGGGGGGGGACAGGGGGAGGGGGGGGGAGACAGGGGGAGGGGGGGGGGGGGGGGGACAGGGGGAGGGGGGGACAGGGGGGGAGGGGGGGGGGGGGAGAGGGGGGGAGACAGGGGGGAGGGGAGACAGGGGAGGGGGGGGGGGAGGAACAGAAAGATAAAGAGAAATTATAGTTAGGAATAGACAGATAGATAGAGAGAGAGAGAGAGAGAGAGAAAATAGTTTGGAGAGAGCAAAAGAAAGATAAAGAGAAATTATAGATAGGAATAGAGAGAGAGAGAGAGAGAGAGAGAGAAATAGTTAGGAGAGAGAGAAAAAGAAAGATAAAGAGAAATTGTAGATAGGAATAGATAGATAGATAGATAGATAGATAGATAGATAGATAGATAGATAGATAGATAGATAGATAGATAGATAGATAGATAGATAGATAGATAGATAGATAGATAGATAGATAGATAGATAGATAGATAGATAGATAGATAGATAGATAGATAGATAGATAGATAGATAGATAGATAGATAGATAGATAGATAGATAGATAGATAGATAGATAGATAGATAGAGAGAGAAAAATAGAGAGAGAGAGAGAGAGAAATAGTTTGGAGATATAGAGAAAAAGAAAGATAAAGAGGAATTATAGATAGGAATAGAGAGAAAGAGAGAGAGAAATAGTTAGGAGAGAGAGAAAAAGAAAGATAAAGAGAAATTGTAGATAGGAATAGAAAGAGAGATAGAGAGAGAGAGAGAAAATAGTTTGGAGAGATAGAGAAAAAGAAAGATAAAGAGGAATTATAGATAGGAATAGACAGTTAGATAGAGAGAGAGAGAGAGAGAGAAATAGTTAGGAGAGAGAGCGAAAAAGAAAGATAAAGAGAAATTATAGAATAGATAGATAGATAGAGAGAGAGAGAGAAATAATTAGGAGAAAGAAAAAAAGAAAGATAAAGAGAAATTATAGATAGGAATAGATAGAGAGAGGAGAAAGAGTCAGATAAAGGGAGCTATCGAGAGAAATAAAGAGATAGAGAGAGCGATCGAGAGGGAGAGATAGAAAGAGAGAGAGAGAGAAAAAACACATATCTGCGCGTCTGTATATATAGAGAGAAGATAGAGAGAGGGAGGGTAAAGGAGGGAGAGAGGGAGGGAGAGGCAGAGAGAGACAGCGAGAAAGATAGAGAGAGACAGACAGAGAGAGAGACAGAGAAAGACAGAGAGGGAGAGACAGACAGAGAGGGAGAGACAGACAGAGAGAGAGACAGAGAGAGAGAGATACAGCCATCTAATCATCTCTGACAGTGATCATGGCAATCCCAATCCCAATCCCAACCACCTGTTGCTTCCCAAGAAATATCCATCAATCCATCATCGATAACCCCCCCCAACCCCCAACCCCCCCAGTAGAGAAACCTTTGCTCCTCTCATTGTGCCTCTTGATTTGGATCCTCCACCAGGAGGCGCTCTCCACCCTCGCTTGGCGATTTCCACCGTTTCACCCCCAACAATACACGGTCACTCCACTTTAACGGTGTATCCTATGAAGCGCTTCCAGACGTCTGGGTCGACGCGATAACCCCTCAACGATCCACGATCGCGTGAGCGACGCTGCCGTGCGCGATTGGCTGCCACGTTTCGCCCACAAACTATAGAGTCAGTTCCCTGTGCAGCATATCCTGCCAAAGCGCTTTGAGACGTCTCGACGTCCCCGACAGGTGCTACAGCAAATGTAAAGACAATAACAATTATAATTATTATTAAACGCCCTCAAACGCCAATTTGATTGATTTCTCTTTCACAAAAATAACAGCGATTGCCTTCCTCAGTCAGTTCGTCCAATAACAACATCAACAACTTGCCCCCCCCCCCCACGCAGGTTAGAGTCCCAGAGTGCTTGACAGTGGTGGAGCACGAGGCCGGAGGGGGAGGTGGGTGGAGGTGACCATGGGCACGGGCAAAGAGAAAGGCCTTCAGGCGTGATCTGAAGATGGGGAAGGAAGGGGCAATGGCGGAGGGATAGAGGAAGTGTGTTCCACAGCTTCGGGGCGTAATGGCTGAAAGCAGAGGAACTCACACCAGCTACGCTGCCCCTGACGCTGCTCTCCCCTGTAAGTACTGAAAAGTGATCTTGAATTTCTCTCGTTTTTTTGTGTGAATCTGATTCCATGAAAGCAGCAGCCGTGTCGGGGTGTGGGGCGGGTGGGGAGGGGGGGGGGGTGCCGGACATGGACAATGGCTCTCTCTCTCTCACACACGCACACCTGTGGGCTTTATAAACCTCCCCTCTCCGCGCGCGCACACACAGAGCCCCATTGTCTGAGTTTTCCGCGTGTCTGCGAGAGAGAGAATTGTTGCCTGATCCTGGCTCATCGCGGAGTAAAGCCAGAGATCTAGGGAACCAGTCCACCGCCAAGACATTCCGGGGAAACAGGATCTAGGAATAGCCGGTGATCCGGAGAAATGTAGCTGGTTGATAAGGAAGGATTCCCGGTTTTACACCGAGCTTCCAGCCGACTCCAAGATTTCCGCTTGATGTGAAAGGCGTTAACCCGCCATTATAGTGTGTGTGTGTGTGTGTGGAGTCCTGTAGCTCAGTGGTTAGAGCACTCGCTTTGCAAGTGAGAGACCTGAGTTCATTTCCAGGCAGAGGGCGAAACCTTGGGCAAGTTTCCTTACTCCACACAGAGCCTAATAATAATCCCTCCAAAACCCCAAAACAATAATAAATTGGTCATTTTCAATCTACGACTGTTTGTGGGACATTGCTGTGCGCAATTGGCTGCCGCATTCGCCCACAAATATACAGTCACTTCACAGTGTGTTCTGTGAAGCGCTTTGGGACGTCCTCCCGACGTGAAAAGCGCTATATCAAATGCGAGGATTATTATTATTATTATTATAGCTCATTATGGCACGCAAACAGCTCAAAGCGCCATTATCTACCGTGTTTCATCATTAAAATACACAGTCACTCCACACTTTACAATATTTAGCTGTGAAGCACTTTGAGACATCCCAACAGTGAGATAAGATGCTATATTAAGCGCTTTGCACTAATTATGTCGTTTATTTCTAGGCAAACAATTTCCCGTACAGCAACATCCCACAAACACCATGAAGCAAGTGACTGACTTTATCTGGGGGATTGTTGGCCAGGACAGCAAGAGAGAGAGAGAGAGAGAAAGAGAGAGAGAAAGAGAGAGAGAAAGAAACTCCGTTCAACACCACATGATCTTTTAACATGCGCCTGAACAAGGCAAAGACGGGAAGTTAGGTTTAACGTCTCATCCGAAGGACGGCATCTCTGACAATGCAGCGCTGTTTCTCTCCCTCCCGTCCACCCCCACCTCATTCAGTACTAAATAGGTGTGAAATATAATGTTAAATTGCAGCGTCAGAATCAGTCACAGTGAGGTATCTCTGAATGAATTGTGGAGTAAATCAGGCCAGTGTACATCTCCCATGGAGTTCTCAGCATGTTGCTTTTCTTTGCCTTACTGTGGGGCCCATGTTATGGTTGTGGGGTGGGGGGGTGGGGGGGGGGGGGGGGGAGTCTTGCCCCCACAGCGTGTAGACAGCCACAGTCACCGAGGTCCGACCAAGCAGCTCTCCGCTCACACAACGCTCCAGGGTAGCTTTGCAACAAGAGAGATTCTGTTTGTTTTTGCGGCTCTTGCTCTCGTCTCTCCTCACCTTCTCATTAATCACGACCACTGCCTCAAACCTACTCCTGAACTCCCCTAACCCTGGCCAGCCTAGGGACCTCAATGCAGGGGGGGGGGGGGGGGGTAGGCAGGGAGGGAGGGAGGGAGGGAGGGAGAGAGAGAGAGAGAACGGACTGCATTTTAATGAAAATCGTCACGTTCGAAAAAGATTCTGCTCAAAAAACAGTCAACTTGATGTGATAAGGCGCAAATAACAATTTTCCTCGCATTCAATACAGCGCCTTATCACATCTTTGAAGCGTTTCAAAGCGCTTCGCAGAATATACTGTCAAGTGAATGGACTGTACGTTTTCCTGGCGAAACACGGCAGCCAACTGCGCACATCAGTGTCCGTGGATGGATTGAGTGACACAAATTATTACTATTTATTTATATTTTTGGAGGGATTATTATCCCCAGAAAACCGATCCGCCGATCAAGCAACGAGCGGGTTGCTTTTGCTCCCTCCCTCTCTCCCCCTCCGTGTCACCAGCTGTGGTCCTCTATTTTCTCCCTCCGACTTTTCTCCCAACTGTTTACTCCATGTTCGATCCGCTTTCTTTTCTATGTAGAAATCCTCACCTCCATCACT